TGCATGAATATGAATGTTGATGTGCATAGTCATAGTCATCTTTATTGATCCTTTAAAACATACAAAATAAATATATAGGATACGTCACTACAGAATTTAGTATAAAAACATTAATGTGTATAATACAATATTCACAGTGTAAAAAAAATTGACAAAACATAAAATATATAAAATAACATTTTTACAAGTAAAATATGAAGCTACTGCAATTTGTCCTCAAGATATTTGTTTGTTTGTTACGTTGTTTGTTACGTTGATTTTGAAAAGGCATTTGACAAAGTAAGACATGAAAAATAAGTCAAAATTCTAAAGACAAAAAACATAGACCATAGGGACTTACGAATAATAACAAACCTCTACTGGAATCAAAGAGCTCAAATCGTAATAGATAACGAACCCAGTCCAGTAATTAAAATCAGGAGATAAGTTAGGCAGGGATGTATTATGTCCCCATTACTATTTAATGTATATAGTGAACCCATTTTTGAAGAAGAATTACTATCTCAAAGTGAAGGAATAATAATTAACGGAAGATCTATTAACAATATAAGATATGCAGATGACAACGTGTTTATGGCAAGCTTTGCTGAACAATTCCAATTACTGCTAAACAAAACAAACAGTTTCTGTGAAAAATATTGACTAAAAATGAATATAAAAAAGACCAAATACATGATAATAACAAAGAAAACAAATATACCAACAAACATACATTTGGGAAATATACCGATAGAAAGGGTTGATAAATACAAATAGCTAGGAACCTGTATTTCAGACAATAATGATCAAACAACCGAAATAAGAGCTAGGATAGAAATAGCAAGAAATGCGTTTGTAAAAATGAAAACAATTCTCTGCAACAAAGATCTTAGATTAGAACTGAGAGTAAGAGCACTGAGATACTAAGTGTTTTTGATACTGCAATATGGACTTGAAATCTGGACATTGAAGCAAAAACACATAAATAAGTTACAGTCCTTTGAAATGTGTTGTTACAGGAGGATGCTCAGAATTTCATGGACACAGAAGAAAACTAACACGGAAGTACTGCGATAAATGGGCAAAGAATGCGAAATAATAAACACAATAAAAATAAAAAAGTTACAATATTTGGGACACGTAATGAGGACAGCGATATGAACTGCTAAGGCTGATAATACAGGGAAAGATAAGAGGAGAAAGGAGTAAAGGAAGAAGGGGAGTGTCATGGTTGAAGAATTTAAGGGACTGGTTTAAATGCAGTTCTATAGAAGTCTACAGAGCAGCAGTAAATAAAGTAAAGATAGTGGTGATGATATCCAACCTCCGAGTGGGAGACGGCACTTAAAGAAGAAGAAGTTATCCAAGCAGTGCAAGTGGTCGCATGTCATTTGTCTAGTCCTCGATTAAAACAAGTAAAAAATTAAGAATATTAGTGACTGCGAATAAAACAATGAACATTTTGTGAAGAAGCGGAAGAAAGGAGTGAAACATGTAGAGTACCAAAGAGAGAAAGTTAAAAAGGCCAAAGTAAAAGGAACAGCATACACGAATTATAAAGGAAATTTAGTTCCCGAAAGACCCAGGGGCGTATCTTGCAGGTTTGATGTATTATTATTATCATTGGGTAAGTACATAACGCAACGCAAAGAGCAATGGAACGAATCATGCTTGGAATATCACTGAGAGACAATAATAGAAACACCGAGATAAGACGGAGAACGAAGATTAAGGATATTCTGGAAGAAACTACAAAAATGAAATGGCACTGGGCAGGTCACGCAGCCCGATATAATGACAACAGGTGGACACTTAGAATTCTAGAATGGAGACCAAGGACGACAACAAGAAGCATGGGAAGACCTCAAAAAAAAAGCGTAGATGACAAAAGGGCAGTGGCAGGCAAACAGTGGATTAGATTGGCGCAAGACAGAGAAAGATGGAAGCAATTGGGAGAGACCTACATTTAGGAGTGGATGGAAAATGGTTGACAAAGAAGTGTTTTAATAATCGTTGTTGTTTTTATATGCAATATGATATGTTTTGAGAAAGGAACGTTAGATGATCAAGATGAACTTCTAACTAAATTTCAAAATGAAAAAAGAATCCTGTGACGAATTTTCAGCTCAAAAATTCTTTTCAATATACGGCTTTAACTAGTTCTGGTGTTAAAAATGTTTGCAAAAAGACATTTACAGCATTTTTTACTATTTCTGATAACCGAGTCACACGACTTCCTGATTTAGTTGTGACAGGAAAGTCTCCCATTTATAGATGTGGGCAAGGTATATCAGAACACGCTATACCTGGTACTGTTGTCCAGTTGATAGAGGACCGCATAAACTCATTCCCTTTACGTGAAGCGCATTATGCAGGGCGTACGTACAAATATCTATCTGAAAAGTTTCAGATTTGACTTAGCATTTGGAAGGCCACAAGTAGATACGTGTTACTTGTGCGAATCTTTAGACGTGAAAATTAAGAGTAAATTTATACACGAAGCTGCGAAACAATCCGCAAAAGCTGAAAAAGAGCAAACGAGCAAAAAATTTTCCTAACAAAATGAAACGAATTAAAGAGCGTTGTTTACAAGATTCTTCTCATGGAGCAATCTGTAGAGATTTTATGCAAAATTTAATGCTTCCCAATACTCCACTTCAAGAGGTATTTTATCATTATCAACTGACTTAATTAATTTGAAATTCATGATATCCACACGATAACTGCAATGTTTTACGTACATCATGAAGGGATTGCAAAAAAAGGTGGTAATGATGTATGTTTATTCATAACGCACTATATATACTCTGTTTTACGTAAAACTACACGATACCTGCACATATTTTCGGACGTTTGTGCAGAACAGAAAAAAACATACAATGGTTCGACTACGTTCCGCCCTGGTACCTACAGGACGTTTTGATCAATTAATCCATATTTCCCCATTGGAGGTCACAGTTTTCTTCCATGTGATAAGAATTTTGCTGTAGTCAAACGAAAAATGAAGAAAGCAAATCGGATTTACACTGTAATAGCCTACGTGGAGATAATAGCGATTTCCAGTCAAAGAAACAAATTTTCTATGTAGTGCATAATGATATGATAATAGACTATACGTCATGGTGACCTAAGTACTATGAACAAAATTGTATGTCAGTTGACTCATATGGTCGTGTAGTTACTAGAGAATGCATCCTTCATGCACTTTACGCATGATTCAAGCAAACACGGTCATGTCGTAGTACGTGATTTTATTGACTGTACAGTATGAATATCAGTTAAGTAAGACCAACTCAAAACCTATTCTTCCAAAGACAGCAGCGTATCCAGATGGGCCTAAAGCACTTAATGTGAAAAAAATGAGAGATCCACAAAGTTAAAATCCTATTTACCAGATGACTACAATGTTTAGAGCTTTTACGAGGAGATTTTTGGATGGCCAGTAATATAAAAAGATTACCTACAGGACGTTCTTGTACAACTTTGTATTTACGACATATTTAATGTATTTAACTGAATAAAGATCGTACTTTTTTGCAAGTAATACTGTTTGTTTTAGCCTGTAATTCAGAAACTCTATGAGTACAACGACAAAATCTCTTTGTAAAATTGACAAAAAAGAAAAATTAACATTAAAAATGGAGAAAAACCATTATAAAACATTCATATGCATACATTCGGCGGTACTTGTAGGATTTCTAAAATATGTGACTCAAGTGTTCTTAAAATTAAACAAAGCGATGTGTAGAGCAAAGAAGTTTAGTTGTTTTATCCGGCAACCCTGTAATTTGTCGAACCGGTATTTACGAAAGATTGGCACAAAAATTGTTGATGTCTTCTGTATGAATTGTAATACTACTTACATATTTTATGCACTAACACTGTATATAATGCAGTTAACTATTTCATAACATAAAATTAACTTGAAATCTGCTTGTATTTGAGAAAAGTGAGATGGAATTTTTAGTACTTTCTTCAAATTGAGAAGCTAAAGAGGGAGTTTGACTAGCGTGCTTCTATTTTTTGAGAAGACACATAAAGTGTTTTTATGGTAGTTAGGTTTGAATAGTTTGAATGTAAAAAAACTGAAAGGCGCAGGAGATACGATATGGCAGACAGAAGGCATGTCATACTGATCGTAGGTCTTTAATTTAATTACAAGGGAAATTTAAATATTTTAATAATTAATGCTTATTTATTAATAGGCGAGCAGTTTATCCCTATAAGCAGAGCATAAACCGACTATTTTTTTGCATTTCTGCCGCACGATACCTTTTTTATTGGATTTTATATATTTTTTTCAAATTACAATGTATTTATTTTTTAATTTTCCAAGTGTGCTGCATATTATTAGAAAATTTTTCAAAAAATGCTTCCTTTTGTTGAAAAAAAATGCCTTAATTGGTGATTCTTGCGATTTTTTTTATACCAAACTACTTAATGAATTGAAATTCTGTAAGAAGTTTTATAATATTTAAGCCTTCAAATACAAGTAAGAATATTTTGACAAGGATAAATAGGTTATATCTTGCTCAAAATATGAAATTAAATATTTCGAATATGCATTTTGACCAATCTGTTTCTGTATATGATAATAAGCGTGTACCCACTTATTCTTGTCAAAATATTGTTTCTTATACGTGAAGGTTTAAAGATTATAAAGCTTTTTGTAGAATTCTAATTTATTTGGTAGTTCTTTTTGAAAAAAATCACAAAAATCACTAAGGCATTTTTTCAACAAAAAATTGCAAATAACATGAAAAGGAAGCATTTTTTGAACAATTGCCGAGGGAGAAAAGGTATTTACTTCGATGAGATAGGTCTAAAAAAATTTTACTTAAAGTGATTCGGCAAATTATTTTGTTCTTATAAGTTATTTAATATAACCTAAAAATATATTTCTTTTACGCCCTCGCGTGAAGGTCAAATCTTTATTATTTACATGTTATGTTATGTTAACAAAATATATCTTGAAAATCTGTTTTTGTTTGCATTTATTAACCGTATTTTGTTTGTTACAGATTGTAAATAGGGTAGCCCTTGCCCGAGAAATACGAAAAATATACAAAAGGTAGCCATCTATTTATACCAATAAACAAACAGAACACCAACTAAGTTAAGTGTACAGGATAAGTTTATTATCGTAGACGAGTTGTTAAATAAAACAGAAAAATAGGTTTATCAACGTTTCATTTGACTGAATTAAAAATTAAGAAAGAAAGAAATAATACAATCATGATGTCCAATGGTTTAGATTCCGGTGTAGTTGGACAACAAAATGGCAACAGTGGCAACAGTGTCGGAGGAGGACAAGAAGAATCAAAAACTAATCTCATTGTCAACTATTTACCTCAAACCATGACACAAGAAGAAATTAGATCTCTGTTTTCCAGTATTGGTGAAGTCGAGAGTTGCAAACTAATAAGGGACAAAGTTACAGGTAATGTACTCGCTTTTATATTGGCTGATCTAACAAAACATTTTGCGTTTAATTCAGTGTGATAGGTGGAGTTGTCTATTATTTTATTCATACCAATCAGATTCTTTAGCTGTTGTCTAAAAGAATATGTAATTATGTTAAAAAGTGTTGAAACAGAATAGAATCTTCTGGGGAGATATATTTTGTAAATCTGACGATTCAGCACTTCTGCAAATAAGTAGGATGAATGAACAATTGACCAACTTCAATTACAACTTCATTACAACTTCACCTATTATGTCTTGCTATATTGTATTTTTAAAGATTTGTATGGTACGTTCTTAGTATATTTAACGTATGCTATTACAATTTTTTACAATTAAAAGTTGCAATATTAACATTACCATTTTAAGATGGTGTCTTTAATTTTTGACATTGTTTAACTTTTTTTGGCAAGAGATATTAACAACGAATAAAAAAACATATAAAAGCATAATAATTATATTTTCTCCTTAAGAATTTTATAGAAAAATTTAAGAGCAAAGTGTAGTGAAACGTTGTAACAAAAAGTTTACAAAGGTTTTTCCCTGAAAGGGGAAAAGCTGAGGAAGACGAAGAAGACACAGTGTACAAGAATAATAAAGGCCTGTAATAATATGTGAGACTGTATGAAGATTTTAAGCAAAATAAAATTCAGACGGACTAAGAAAAATAAAAGCACGTTCCAAATGATGATACGCTCTCCAGAAATTAGTGAAATAATGAATGAAGGCTTAATAATTAATGTAGGGTGAGAAAATAATATTTCCTTTATAATATAAAAATTCTTTTAATATTAAAGGAAAGAAAATAATATCTTTTACCTGGTTGTAATATTAAATTAAATGAATAATACTTGATTTCAAGCATTAAATGTCCATTTTTCTACTGCTTATCTGTACTTTCTTCTTTTAAAGTTTAAAGTCTCAAATATCTTAAAGCGCCAGAGTAACAGAAGAAAATATAATTAATAATTTAACAAATTAACAGCGGTACATAGAACAGAAGAGTAAAATAAAAACAGTAAGGTATTACATAGAAGAAGCACAGGAAAAATGAAAAAAAAAATACACTTGTTTTAACAAGATGGAAAAACGGTTATCAGATTAGGTTATTGGGTAAAACAGGATGGAACAAGTGATATGGAAAAAATATGAATACATGGGAAATCACTTTAAAAAACTGCTGACTGGACGAAATGTTTCTGAAAATCTTCCATATCAGCTTTTTGATGAGATGATGGTATTGAAGTAGGAGTACTTAAAGAGGAAATGGTTGAATGCATAATACAAGCTTCTTAGAAATAGCAAAAGATCTAGCGGGAACGAAAAAGTGGTAGAAATGATCAAAGCAAGAGTGGAAATGCTAGAAAAGAAGATCTATAGTCTTATGACGAAGATATGAAAGAGGAAACTGATTCAAGGCCTGAATATGCAGGATATAATATAAAAATGATGAAATTCTACAATGGGCAAATCATAGAGACGTTGAATACTTGGATATTGATTATGTACTTTAGAAAGGAACTAAAACATTAATAGGACGTTGATATGGTTAATGGACCTAAAAATATGAAGAAACCACGGAGTGCTTCTATTCAAAGGGGTGCGTTCTTGTGAAAGGTGTGAATTTGTCTCTATGCACATCTATGATAAATTTCCTATCGAAATATTATCTTTTAAAGTCAAAAAACTAATTTTATTTTTGACAAAAATATATTGAAAAAACGAAGCAAAAAACACGAAAAAACGCGATTTTTCTTTTTTGTTCCATAACATTTTTCCACTGGAGTATAGGTTAGGTTAGGTATTGCTTTACAGAAAAAAAACTTATATCCTCCCTTTTCAAAATAACGTTTGGTAGAAGTATTTAGGATTCACAGTATCCAAAATACGGTTTTTCAAAGATCACCACTCACACTATTTCTGGGCATTAAATTTTGACGAACCCTATCTTGGTTACCGTTAGTCCTAGAATATTTTACAATAGATTACTTTAAAGTAAGGAAAATAGTCTTTTTTTATTTTGTAATGCATATACCTAAATATACAAGAAAAAAAGTAAATTAATATTTAACTGGGAATAAGCCACAATTAAAGATAAAAATACGTTTATTGACGTTTCAATTTCCACTTCGGAAATCGTTCTCAGAAATCGGAAATCAGAGAACGATTTCCGAAGTGGAAATTGAAACGTGAATAAACGTATTTTTATCTTTAATTGTGGCTTATTCCCAGTTAAATGGAAATTAATTTAAAATGCCACAAGAAAATAGCTTTAGAACAATATTAAGAAAAAAAGTAGCTGTAAAATGTTATGTTTAACTTTGTCGAAAGCTTTCTCATAGTCTATAAACGCAACGAAATGACCTTTTTGTTGTTCTCGACATTTTTGGGCAAGAGTTGTGAACCTATATAGAGCTTCCACTGTTTCTAACCCGTTACGAAAGACAAACTGTCTATTACTCATATCTGCTTAGCACTTTCTGAATATTCTTGCATGTTTAATCTTTAAAAATGTTTTTAATAAGCGTGACATTAAGCTGATTAATCTATAGTTATTACAGTGTTAGGGTTCTTGGTTTTTGGTAGAGGAACAATGGTCGATAGCAGCCATTCTGTAGGTATCTCACCAGATTTGTATATGTTGTTAAAGAGTATAGTTATTGCACTTAAATTGTCTTCGTCTGTAAGTTTAATCAGCTCGATATGAACTTCATCTGGTCCAAGGGCTCTGCCAGATTTTGAGTTGTTTATAGCTTGTTGGACTTCAGATTTTAATATTATTGGAGCTTCTTCGTTATCAATTTGTGTTGGTTCCGTTCTTGTGTCCATGAAAAGTTCTTCAATATATTTAGTCCATACTTGTTTTATTTCAGTTGGTTATTAATAGGTTTATTATTTTTGTCAATTAATCAGAGGTGTATTCGTTCGTGATTTTCCAAATAATTCTTTTACTTTTTTATGTAAATTATAATGATCATGCTTTTTTTGCAATTCTTCCACTTCTATGCATGTTTCCATCATTCACTTTTCCTTAGCCTCTTGTATTCTGTTCCTTATTAATTTATGTTTTTCTCTGTACTTATTTGGGTTTCTATATTTTCTTGTTTGTTAAATGTTTGTTTGATTTTCAGTATTTCTTGAGTCAACCAAGGTTTTCGGCTTTCTGTTTTCTTTTGCAGAGGTTCTGTGTTCAGAAACCCTTTTTCTGTGAAAGAGTGAACAAAATCTTTGATTTTGCTGCACAAAATGTTTACATTCTCAGTGTTTTTCATTTCTGATGTTAATTTCTTCATTTCTTGATTGCTACAAGTTGAAGCCTCAGCACGGATTTTATTTATCTGGAGTAACTGAGTATTTACCTTAGAACTTTTGGATTTTATTATCTTTTTTATAATAAACATACATATTATTTAAGCTAATTAAAGAAAAATCCACAAACAGGAGACCCTCTATCCACAGTGCTTTTTGTTTTGATTTCGGAAATTATCACTAGAAGAAGCAAAGTTAAAACGACCAACCATATTTAATAATGAATATCATAATAGTTGTTATCATAATAGTAGTAAAGGATTATAAATGGAAGCTAAGGAGTATGATCTATTACAGTAAATATGCCCAGTTCTGTGAGAGGTAGACAATGAAAAAAATTAGATTCGAAGAAGTTGCAGAGAAAGTCAAGAAAAATGCTCAGATCTCTATGCAAAAGGATAAAAGTTGGATGAACAGGAAAAACAAAAGATGATCTCATAAAAAATTATTCAAACTCAGTACCTTTGTCGATTTAAAAAGAATAATATACCTGGAACATGTAAGGGGAATAATGGATGCGACCAAATGGTCCTATGATACCCAACTGCAAAAGCATGAAAAGGTGACCCATGCGAAGATCGACAGAAATATACCAGAGTACAGGAAAATGGTGTATCAGTTCAGCACACAAGGAGTGTGTGAATCCTTATTGTAATCTCAAACACATAAGATGGGCTGATATATTTTTTCTTCGATTGGGAAAACTGCTACCAAATTAATAAACACCAGATGTAAACTGCAACTAACAAACTTTTGACCAATTACGAGAGGAAACCTAATTAGCAACATAGGATGTTGATATTTCAACAAAAAGCATACTTCGACTAGCAGATTTTAAATTAAAACAAATTAGATTAGGATATAATTGAATGCATAAGTATATTATTGAAAAATTGTATATTACCCTAGGCCTACATGGTCGCCTGTAGAGTACTTAATATGATAATTCAAATAAGAAGCTGGATGAAGCTGATGACGCCATAGAGTGTAAGACGTGGGAATGTGTTGTGTCATAGCCAAAATCTTCAGTACGCCATTGGTTAATCCGACCTTATAAAGAGAAATTGCGTGATATGTATTAAAGAGGAATTAAAAATATTACTAATTATACAATAATTTAATTTTGATTGTTACCCAAATCGAGTATTTTTGTTTAACTGAACTTCACAAATCACCGCAAGGTTGACAGGTCATTCTAGCGAATTATAGATTTGCGGAAGCCGTAGAATGATGGATCGGCATTTATTTTTAGAACTGCAACATTTTAGCCGCTAGAAAATAACATGTTTAAGTAGGAATGATGTATAGGTTATTTTCTGAAGGGGTAAAAATTGATTTATAATTTATTACATACAAATTCAAACACATACAAAATTTGGATTTTTGAACAGGAAATTTAATGGTTTTGACTGGAAATAAAATGGTAGATTGGAATATTACTGTAAAATCTGAAAGAATACCGGTTGTATTGAAAAAAAAAGTGAAAAAGGAGTATATTAAATCTCAGACCTATATCTACATATATACTAATCTCCCTTTTTCTACTTTACAGTGTAGTATTTTTAAGTAGAAGTATCTGCAAATGTTGGCGTTTTTGGGCCATTTTCTAAACTTTTTCTAACATTTTCTTATACAAAACGGGTGTTGAAATGTCAACAAAGTTTGTTT